AAAATTATCTCGAATAGGTGATAATTGCTACCCCGTCAAAAATCTAGATGTTGTTGCTATCCTCTAGCGATGTCATCAGTGTTGAATACATATAACTTCTGCTTGGTACTGCTGACGGAAACAGATACACTTCTTGCTCCTCGAGTGTTGTAAGATCTTATTGCTAACGGTGCCATGAAGTCGATCAATTACTGTGGAGCCAGCTGCGGCTCGGCTCTGCATGCCCAGCTCTCCAGGTGCGAGTTTTACCTCGACCACATCCTCGTTTTGATATTTATAATATCAAAAGGAGAGCTTAATTATAACAGTAAGCGAGATAATAAATATATATATATATATATATACATAACGTATCACAATACGAATTCATAACACATAGTATTCACGCAAATACCTTCAATCAACATAAAAATAGTTGTCAAAAAAAATATTCTCGAATTTTGAGATATACGCAGATATCGTCCTCACTCATACTAGGAAATCCTTACGGACTCTATACATGAATACTAAGAAACTCTATCCTAGCTCCACGACTCGACCACAGGATGATCCTAAGGGATACTGGAAGTAGAGCTCTGATGACCACTGTGACGCCCCTGGGTTTACACAAGGCTGCAGTCCTCGGTGAAACCAAGAATGTCAAACCTGCCATGCACCACACCGTGCAATAACATATTTTACCATCACAATTAACATCTCTCTAGTAGAGTCAACAACAGGTGTAGGTACAAAAGCAAGTAAAAGATAATACAAGAGATACTGACGAAATGAAAGAGATCAAATTAACACATCTCCTCAACCAAATAAACTGGAATACATAGTCAAAGTCTGAAATGAATAACAATGATCTGGAGATCTCAACATGTCTCAAAGTACATAATATCTGATACAGGAAATAAGGCACACAGCCTTTACAACTCTAGAACATAAACCTCTTAAGTCTAAAAATGTCTCAAGTGGAGTACAAAATAAAATACATCTAATAAGAGGATAAATAGAAACTAGTAAGGGTCGTCCCCATCCTGCGACTCTTCGGGCTCCTGGCTCGTTACCTGAAAGGGGGAGGGACAACGAGCGTCAAAGCGCTAGCGAGCAACATCACAACCAACCCCAAGGGATAGGGCTTGTTGTGTATGAAAATACAGTTAATACATAATAATATAAAATCATTTGTCCTAACAACAATGGGTTTTGGTATTTAGGAAATTACAACACGAGCGTAGGTACGTCGAGCGAAATAATCCAAACAAGGAAACCCTCATGTATATACCTTGTATCTCCAATTGTAAATCCCTAAATACTAAACCCGAGGTCTAATACAAGAAATAATAAACTAAAAGAAACAGCCCATCTCAATACTTAATCAAAAGTCACGCCGAAACAATATAAGTATCAAAGGTCAAGATCACATAAGTGTCGTGTTCAGCCTAGGTAGCTATCATGTCCAAATCTCATGAAATCATGTCATGTCCTGATTCAGATAAATGTCATACTCATAGCTTAACAGATGTCCAACACATAATCTAATATGTAAATGTCCAACACAAGATCTAATATGTAAATGTCCAACACACGGACTGAAATGGATTATAGTCCAACACATCATCTAATATGTAAATGTCCAACACACGGACTGAAATGGATTATAGTCCAACACGAGAACTTCAATGGATTATAGTCCAACACATCATCTAATATGTAAATGTCCAACACACGGACTTCAATGGATTATAGTCCAACACGAGGACTTTAATGGATTATAGTCCAACACGAGGACTTTAATGGATTATAGTCCAACACGAGGACTGAAAGATGAATGCATGTCCAACACATGGACTATATATAACTTATGCCAACGTGCATGATGCATATGTATGAAAAGGTACACATATACTAGTAACACAAATATCTCAGTATGCGGGTCTAAACTGATATCATAATATTACTCACATATATAGATAAATGTTCCATACTGTAATTTAATGCCGGATAAATCGAGGTAAACAATTCATACACACAATATACACAACAAAGCAAAATCCTGCACAAAACAGTATCGCGGTCGACCGCAGAGGCCACTCCGGTCGACCGCACAATGAGCAAAGACATTCTGCTCGACAGAACGTCCAGCGGTCGACCGCCGCGTCCAGCGCGGTCGACCGCGAAACTGACAGAAGCCTATTAAGGGTTTCTGTCAGCTTCGAAATAATTACAACTAGATGTTTTCTTGCATTGAATCAATATCTAACATTTTTAATATGTCATATGATAGACAACAACGAATTTAAACCTTTAAAATCTCATCATCAAGTTCCAAACATATATATAAACATGATTTAAATGTTCTTAAAATAGTAAAACGGGATCAACTCTTATTAAAATGTTTTCAGATCTAAATCTCATTAATACAAATTCGTGGGTGAACTTTTAAAATCTGAAATACTTGATTCTCATATCATATGCCATAATGATCTATTATATCTTCATAAAAAATACGAATTTGGCCCAATAAAACCGGATTAAAACCCAGATAAAACATGAAATACAAAAGGGGTGAAGTTGGGCGAGATGTTACTCGCCTCTGATGGGAACAATGGTCCTGAATCTGCAGGAGAACAATCCCCTTTGCTGAACACCGATTAATCTCGTGAAACCCCGCTGAAAATCCTTCGAAACGCCCCAAAAACGTCAAAAACGAAGTTAGGGTTTGAGAGGAGAGAGAGAAGGGGGGCTGAGGCTATTAGGGTTTGAAAGAGGGTTCTGAGAGCTTCAAAACGAGTATATATATAAGTAGAGTAACAATCGGGTTTGGTATAAACAAAACCAACCCGAAACAGAACTGGACTGGCGTCTGTACGCTGAGCGGTCGACCGCAGCGACCACGGCGGTCGACTGCTCAGAGTTCTGGGCCATGCTCAGACTGGGGTTCGGTAAAAAGGTTATAACTTTCTCATACGATCTCGGAATGAGGTGATTTAAGATTCGTTGGAAATCTGTTGAAGAGACCTACAACTTTGGTCTTATACACTTTTCCAGATTCTAACTCAAACAGTATGAAAAACATAAAAACTCTCAACTGGTCAAAATTCTCAGATTATCACTATTTACTTTTGTGCATGTTTTGTGTATTTACACTCATATATTCACAAATATACATTGAATTGATCTCAAATCAATTCTTATCATACTCAAACATCAAAATACATTATTTTCACCATATAACATATTTAAAATTATTTATCACACTATATTCAAATTTTCGGGGTTTTACAAAAACCGAGTATGTAGAGAAGTTCCGGCTTCCAAACCGGGTGTGTCGATATAGTGGAGATCACCTCGAGGTGAGGAGCGGAAATGTAGGTTAATGGTTGACCGAACTCCATGATCATATCTTGTGTTTGAGTTTGCTTTAGGTATATTTATTTTGTGCTTGTAATTTTATTCTTGCTCATAACTCTTTCATATATCTTTTGCAAGAATTAATTAATCAAGAAAGTTTTTAAATTGGCATAAACCAGAATTAGATTAGCATTGACCCTATTCACTCCCCCCCCCCTCCTAGGGTCTAACATGGAGATTTTACATGATAGGTAAAATTAGAATGTGAAATATTAGTTGGAGAACTCTAACTGATCATAAATTCTGTTCTCTCATTAATTGTATTTTCTAAAATAACCTTTATGCCTAATAGAAATTGCAATTAGTTACAAATTTGGGTGTGGAACACCTCCCAACCATCAAATCTATCTATCCGAAGATGTGAGATCTATTATTATAGAATTTGTTTACAGATATGCAATCAGTGCTCATAATTCTTTCCGGAGTACCAAAGCTTTTGGCAAAAAAATGAAAGTAAAGGAGAGAGAATTGGGTTAACCTATCTTCACTTTTGAAGGCTTTTATCATTTTAATATTCCAATGTTTACCCACTTTTTCATTTTGATACTTTCAAAGTATTTTTTAGCACTTTAGCACCTTAAAGTTTGAATTACATTTCACTTTGATACTTTCAAATAATTTTTTAGCGTCAAAGTTTCGATCTCAACTAACTATGACACCCTTGTGTAGGTTTCATTAGATTTTCTATTAAATTTGCATTACTTGCCTAGCAACTGAGTAAAATTCTATGTACCGTAACTGATTAAAACTATATACACAGTGCATCATATTGATGAGTGTCTTTATAATCCGTACTTGTAAGATCCTAGCGTCAGGTGAACCATGTCTGCGAAAAAGTGGAATCAGTACCTCATCCTAATTTTTTTACTTTAGTAGGGGTTCTAAAGAAAAAAGGCCAAACCAACAAAACTGGGCCCACATGTAAAATTGAAAAATTTAAGCTCTAGGGTTTCTAATTCTGATCAGATTGGAATCAGTACCTCATCCTAATTTGTTTTGGAAAAATTGCTTGGGGGAACCAAGTTAATTTGGGTCATTCATCCCCACCCCCCAACTAGAGTCAACCACTTGGGGGCACATTGACCCAAGTTTTAATGCTTTTACACCCCAAACCCAAGATTGTATATGTACTTTATAGTGTATTTTTGCCAATTGCCCTTTTTACCCTTTGTACTCCTCCGATTTTGGGAGAGGCTAGTGAGTTTTTTTATCTTGTTGGCCAGCAAAGCAACCCATCAAATCAGAAGTCACTTCCAGGCATTTCTGTACACTAGAGAGGTTTTATGGAGGGAAAAGGGAAAATTGGAGGGAAAAAGATACTAAGTTCCCTCCAAAATTGTTGCATGCCTCATTTCAATGTAATATGTACTCTTCCCTCTTTAGATCTACTACTAAGACCTTCAACAACCATTTATATTCTTAACTTTTTCCTCTTAACTTCTTCAACAACCACAATGGAAGATTCCTTAATGTGTGTGATTTTATTTAACAGTAATGCAACCCTCATTAAAGTCAATTCGACAACAAGATTAGCTGAATTGAAGATGATCGTTGCAGAGAATTTTAGAGAATCGTACGAAAGTTTGTTGATAAGTTACTCTATGGAGAAGTTTCCCAATGTCTCATTTGAGCTTTCAAAAGATGAAGATATTCTCAACATGATAGATTATCATCGTTCAATGGGGTTAAATACAGTAACCATGACTGTTACTAAAAAAGATGAAGGACCCACTCATGCCATAGGGACAGAAACAGAGCTTAGGTAAGTATTCAAAAATATATTTTTAGGTTCTGGATACACGTGACATATTACGTTATATATGTGACTTGAAGACATCCAACGTGACAAATTGACTTTATTTGTGATATATGGACTTTATTTCTGATACTTAGGTCTTATATGTGACTTTACTGGTAAGTATCACACGTGATTTATTTGTGACCTTATCTTTCAACCTGCAGTGTTCCAAATGTTAGCTCACAGTCATCAGAGCATATCAAGGAACCTTATGAGAGGATCACAATCGAGGAATCAGAGAGGATCCCAAACGACAACCCTCAAGGAGAGCATGTGTGGATGATGAACGACGTAGTAAGTGACTCGTCACGGATCCCAGCATGGTGGCACGAGGCAATTACTGGAAAAGGGCAACAATTTGAAAGTGCAAAAAAGTTAGAATGGCTCTTATATACTACTCTATATCTAAGAAGTTTGCTTTTAGTTATGTTAACAATGAGCCAAAACGTATTCGTGCTAGTTGCATGTTCAGAAAAGAAACAAAATGCCCGTGGTTGCTTTTTGCTTCACCATTGAGGAATGTGTCAACCTTTGCTATAAAAAAATTTGTTCCTCAACATACATGTGGACAATATAACAGCATAGCTGGTCACTTCAGAGCATCAAGAAGGTGGATTGCGAGTATGCTACAATCAATTATGAAGAGGCGTCTGTTGGACCCTAGAGGGGGGGTGATTACGGTCTTATGCTAATCTAATCCGATTAAATACCAATTAAAATTAATTAACAAGTTATCCTAGCAAGTATGAAATACCACAAGATATATGAGCTAGGATAAGCAACGTAAACAATAAAATATATCCTATATGATGAATTATATATATATGCAAGGATATATAAACTAACACAAGGGGTAAACAATATGAACTAGATAATGGATCATATAAATAATGAGCTATGGACAATGGCAATATAAGATATGAACATAAATATAAATGAACGCCAAAGCACACTCAAACACACTATATGATCACGGAGTTTGGACCTTCCGTCCTACGTCTCCGCTCCCCACTCCCGGGGAGAAATCCACTATCACAATCCGGTTTGGAAGCCCTCCCTCAAGTGCTCGGTTACAACCTCTTCCTAGGCACGTCAACCGACGCCACTCCTCTTGGATTCGACCCCGTCTCTCACCACACACTTCTCTCGGTGTACACGTGTATTATAAGTGAATCCTCACAATTTGGCATAATATAAATCAATTGATTGTTCTCTAAACAAGATGAGAACTCAATTAAGCTCACTCTCAATGTCACAAACCCACAACCCTAAATTATACTATGAATGTAAATACAATAAGCTCAATAGGTTGTGGTGTGAACAAAGAGTATCAATAAAACGATTAAACTAAACTCAATATAAATCTAGCTTATGGAAATTATAATCAAAATAATAAATTGCTAGATGAGTTTAGAAACACTTCTCTAAAGATGACAAGAGAGTAGGAGAAGAGTGAATGCTCAAACACCAAATGATGATCTCCACTTGCTCTTGTGAAATTGAATTCACAAACTCAAATCCTCAATTGCTTAAAAGCTTCTTAAACCAAACTTTAAACAAACACTAAACAAGTTTAAACCCTTGTTAAACTATTTTAAAACCTTCTCTTATATGTTGAAAGATGACAGCAATGGGGTATTTATACCCTCTAAAGATCTTAGCAAAAACCCCCAAAACAAATGACAAAACAGCCCCCAGAGAAATAACTCAGAAATAGCCGTTAGTAGCCAACGGCTATATTGTCGGTCGATCGAAAATTCCGTCGGTCGACCGATGAGAGCAAAAACACGAAGAAAATGTTCTGGACCATCGTCGGTCGACCGGTGCGGTCGACCGATAGAGTTTTTTCGGTCGACCGGACCAGTCGACCGACAGACTCTCTGTCGCCCAGTGAACATATGAACTCAGGTTCGGTCGAACCGGTACGGTCGACCGAAAACTGATATGAAAACTGTTTATCTGATTTTGAAATACTGTTTAAAAATATCAAATAAATTCCAAAAAATGTAAAACTTTGGGGAATGATTGTAGACATGATAATAAACATTCTACAACGACTGGTTTCGAAAAAGGACTTCCCAAATGAAAAATATCATCATTTTACAAAATAGTCCAAAACATGAAAATGTAAACATGTGAATTTTGACATTTTGGCTAAACCAAGTTTTAAAACAATACAAAATGATTTTATAGACTTAATAGAAGATGTAAACTATTGTTATGAAATCTATAAATAATGAATATAGTATTTTATCAAAATACACATATAATACACTAAAACATGATTTCATGGTGATTTCATGTAACTAAATTGATGAAATCATATAAATGTATTAAGTATGAAACAAAAATATGTTTTCCAATTGTATTCAATTGTTTCATAGTAAAACTTGAAAACTATCAAACCAAAACATATATGTATATATATAACTATATATATACATGGAAACCAATAAATGTGTGTGTGTAGTTAATTGAGCTTAGAGTACTTAACACACATAATATAAATCCTAAACTACATTACCCAAACAATCTTGATCTTCAATTAAGCTTGACTTGGTACACGTTGCGGATGAAGCTAAACTTGGATCTTGAACTTGAATTGTATAGGCTTCAACCCGACATTCTGCCAACCTCCTTTGGATATGATCGTTGTAGCTCTATTCCATCCATCCTCCAACAACGTTGTTTGTCTACAAAACATAGGAATGCACAAACACTAGACAAACAACATTAGTAATAAATTGTTTGTTAAACATCATCAAAACAAGAAGGCCAACAGCGTCCATATATTACCCCAACTGACATTAGAAAGGAATTGCACTCTCAATATGGATTAAGAGTTAATTATTCTAAAGCTTGGCATGCTAAGGAGACGGCAAAAGACCAAATATTTGGTTGCGTAAGGCATTCATATGATTTACTATCCTGGTTAGTCCAAGCGAATTGTTGATGTCTTCTTTAGAACGTATCTCTATCACACTTAACTGTAAATGTGACATGTCAAAATGCTATGTGACATTTAGACCTTATATGTGATATTTGGACAATATATGTGATATTTGGACCTTGTATGTGACATTTGGGCCTTATATGTGATATTTGAGCCTTATATGTGATATTTGGACCTTATATGTGACATTTAGACTTATATGTGACATTTAGACCTTATATGTGATATTTGGACCTTATATGTGACATTTAGACTTATATGTGATATTTAGACTTATATGTGATATTTAGACCTTATATGCGATACTTGGACCTTATATGTGACATACAGACCTTAAATGTGACATTTAGACCTAATATGTGATATTTGGACCTAATATGTGATATTTAGACCTTATATGTGACATTTAGACCATATAACCTTATATGTGATATTCAGACCTTATATGTGACATTTAGACCTTATATGTGACATTTAGATCTTATATGTGATATTTGGACCTTTTATGCGACCTTTCGGTCTTATATGTGATATTTAGACCTTATATGTGATATGTGGACCTTATTTGTGACGTTTGAGTATTACATGTGATATTTAGATATTGTTCATCATTTAACAAGTTATTTGTGATTTAACCAACATTTTTAGGTACCAAATGAAGGTGATGGAAACAAACCCAGGAACTGTAAATGTGACATGTCAAAATTCTATGTGACATTTAGACCTTATATGTGATATTTGGACCATATATGTGACATTTAGACCTTATATGTGACAGTTAGACTTTATATGTGATATTTGGACCTTATATGTGACATTTAGACCTTATATGTGATATTTAGAACTTATATGTGATATCTGGACCTTATATGTGATATCTGGACCTTATATGTGACATTTGGACCTTATATGTGATATTTGGACCTTATATGTGACATTTAGACCTTATATGAGATATTTGGACTTTATATGTGACATTTATACCTTATATGTGACATTTAGATCTTATATGTGATATTTGGACCTTTTATGTGACCTTTCGGTCTTATATGTGACATTTAGATCTTATATGTGATATGTGGACCTTATTTGTGACGTTTGAGTATTACATGTGATATTTAGATATTGTTCATCATTTAACAAGTTATTTGTGATTTAACCAACATTTTTAGGTACCAAATGAAGGTGATTGAAACAAACCCAGGAAGTGTCTTCACCATTGAACAAGAAAACACGAGATTCAAACATTTATTTGTGTCGTATGGTGCATGCATACAGGGGTTTCTCAAGGGATGTAGGCCATTGCTCTTTCTAGATGGGACTTTTCTGAAGGATCGCTACAAAGGGATCCTATTAGGTGCGACTGCTTATGATGGTAATCAAGGCATATTTCCACCTACAAAGGGATCCTATTAGGTGCGACTGCTTATGATGGTAATCAAGGCATATTTCCACTCGCATTTTGTGTTTGTGACCAAGAAAATGAAGCAAATTGGAGTTGGTTTATTCAAGGATTGCGGTATATTTTGTACAATCGAACAGAACCGTACAATCCACCCTATCCTCTAGAGATTTTGTCAGATGCCGACAAAGGAATTAAACAATCTTTGAAAGATATATTTCCAGATGCGTACCACTCTAGATGTGTACTTCATCTCGTTGAGAATTATAAATTAAAGCTTAGAGAGATGGGTTTTGCCTCAAGTGCTGCTCAACGTATTTCAAAATTATTGGAGTTTGCTGCATACAAGTACACGGAAAGAGAATTTAAAGCTATTTTACATCAGATTAGGATGACAGATCAAAGAGCTTACCAAGTAGCTCTAAGTTATGGACCAAGTAATTGGGCGAATTCTGTATTTTCTGGTATAAGGTACGTCAAATATCATTGCCTTTACTTGTGACATTATGCTTTTATATGAATTTGAGCTTTTAAAAGTCATTTGTGACCTTTACATGTCTCGTGTGGCAATATGCCATTAAATGTGACACTTAGCCCTGCGCTGTGATCATTAGCAGTTGCATGTGACATTTGTTATTTATATGTGACAAATATGCTGTAATTTGTAATTTTTAAAATTATTGTTTGATTCACAGATATGGTCATATCACTTCCAATGTTGCTGAATCTTTCAACAGTTGGATTCGTGTGGTGAGAACACTTTCCATTTGCGATATGATGGATCACATTCGTGTACAAATTATGGAAAGAATGAATACTCGCCGCGAGATGGCAAAAAATTGGAATAGCTATCTATGTCCAGAAGCGGAAAAAATCCTCCAAGAAAATGTCACCAAGGGAAGCACTCTTGAAGTATCGCATTCTACAGCTGAAATCTTTGAGGTATCATCACAAAAATCAGTACAAGTTGATTTGGATCACAAAACATGCACGTGTCGTGCATGGGATATATTGAGAATACCATGTAAACATGCGTGTGCTGCTATCAACTTTATGCATAGAGATGTGTACCAGTTTTGTGATTGGTTCATGACGACTGAAGCTTTTAAGAAAAGTTACGAACTAATTCTCTTTCCTGTTCTAAATTATGATAAGCCAGATGTAACAGATGAAACAGTTAGCATTCTTCCCCCAAAGACGACAAAGAGACGTGGAAGGAACAAGAATAGACGTATCAACAACAGATCTGAGAATAGACGTGCAATTAGATGCTCAAGATGTCACGCTGAAGGACATAACCGAGCCACATGCACCGAACCTATCCAAGATTAACGTTTGATTACAGAATGCAAACGCTTTTGTGACTGTTGTCTGTTATATGTGACATTTGTCATTTTGTTGTGACATTTACTGCTTGTATGTGACGAATAACCTGTTCGTGTTACTTTTGCCACTACACATGTGACATTTACTACTTATGTGACGTATCACCTGTTCGCGCGACATATTACCTGTCTAGATTTAACATGTTAAGGAAAAGAACACCAAGAATTTACAAACAGCTAGTAACTGGTAACGAGAACATAACACAATCACACATGTAAAAATATAACATACCACAACATACTAAAACGTCACATAACAGCCCCAAAAGTCACACAGAATACCCAAATGTCACATACAAGAAGCAAAAGTCACACAGCATACTAAAACGTCACATAACAGCCTCAAAAGTCACACAGAATACCAATATGTCACTTACAAGAAGCAAAAGTCACACAGTATACTAAAACGTCACATAACAGCCTCAAAAGTCACACATAATACCAATATGTCACTTACAAAAAGCAAAAGTCACACAACATACTAAAACGTCACATAACAGCCTCAAAAATCACACAACATACTAAATGGTCACATATCTTCACATATAGCTCACACAGCAATTCAACAAATGTCACACACAACTAGTAAACTGGTTATCCTTTACATCATAGCGTTTAAACAAATGTAACAGTTACATGTAGATTCTAATACTTCCACTCAATCATAGGTACATCACTACCCCCAAAGTACAAAAAATATTCTGGATCATGTAGGGTCTGATTTTGCTTATGTATACCAAGTGTAGGATCGTGACCCTTAAGAATAGAGTGCGCTCTTATAAAAATATGCGGAAGCTTTACACTTAAACACTAGAGTGTGAGTTTGCAAAGTAGATTATAAATTGCAAAGAAAGAATAGCAATCTCAGAAAATAAACATCACAAACACAAGCATGTATACTGGTTCCACCTCCCCGGTGTACATCCAGTCCCCAAGCAAATCCCGCTTGAGAGTTTCCACTATGATTTTGAAATCTTACAAAATCAAAAGCAAACCTGACCAATTTGCAAGACCATGCAAATTGCAAACCCAATTGACAAGACCATGCCAATCGTCACACCGATCTCTAGACCAAGAGATCAACCCCTCTCATAAACCGAGAGAACCTTTCTTTGAAGTAATGTACAATTCCAATCCTATAAGCCTTGATATAGATGTGAATGTATAATAGTGGCTTATCAATCTTTTTAACTCTCTGAATATTGTCTAAACAAGCTCTAAGAATGATAGGAACAAAGGCAATATCAGAAACTCTCTTTTATAGAAAAACAGATTGAAAAACTAAAAATTTTGAGAGTTAATTTGCACAATATGTGAATCTTATAAGTGCAAAACTTGGTGGTTGTTTTCTGATGTTTAAACCTATTTATAGCCTCTGAAATGAAATAATTTTAAACCCAATTAACATCCACAAAACGGCTATAAACAGTAACTTATTTAAAACCTGAAATCTAAAAAAACTACATCTGTAGTCGACTACAAGTCATAGAAGTCGACTACACTGAGTCTAAACAGACTCTGTGAAGTCAGAAAATTGCTTAGTAGTTGACTACAAGGCATAGTAGTCGACTACACTGTAAACTCAGATTCTGGAATTTTTCTTTTTAGTATTTTGACTGTAATTTTCTCATCCGATATCGGAATGAGGTGATTTAAGATTTGTTGGAAAGCTATTGAAGAGACCTACAACTTTGATCTTTTGAGTTTTTCCATATTTTAATTGTTAAAGGGTATAAATAAAATGTTTTAAGACTCATTCAATATCTATAAACTCTAATGGCTAACATAGGGGATTTCTATTGTTAACCAACACACTAAGCATGTGTTAGTGTGTTCTAACACTATGTGTGTGCATGTGTGTGAGTGATCAAGGCTTGTATAAATATCTAAGCAAAGAAAATATAAAATTACATTTTGACAATAAAGTATATCTTCTTCTTTGCTTCATTTTGCCTTGAACTCATCTATGTCTTGAGTATCTCTTTGAATATAATTATTGATATAGCTCTAATACTGCAAAATAAATGTTAGCACATAATACACATAATATATAATATTTGTTATCATCAAAATAAACTAATCTTGGGGTCAAGATTCCTAACAGATCATCACTGTCTAATTTCAACCGTAGTTTTTTCCATTCACGCCCTTCACATATGAGTTGAGCAGCAAGTCCTGCTCGTAGCATATGCGACTCCCTGTGCAAGGCTTCAACATCCATTATCTCCCTTCCCTCGAGGATCGCCTTGATAAAAAAATACGTATGTATGCTACAATCATACCTGTAGAAATATAACATAACACTTAATAGCAGGATATATAACTGGTAACAAGAATATAACACAAAGAATGTAAAAATGTCATATGACAGCCCCAAAAGTCACACAAAAGACTGAAATGTCACATATGGGCCCCAAAAGTCACACATAATACTAAAATATCATGTAACAGCCACAAAAGTCACACAGAATACCAAAATGTGACCTAAATGCAGCATAAGTCACACATCATACTAAAATATCACATATTAGCACCAAAAGTCACACAGAATACCAAAATGTCACATATGGATGTGAAAATATCACCCACAATGTCACTAACCCATGCAAGTATCACATGCATAAATAAACTGTTTAAGTGTAAGAAACTTACGATCCTTTTTGCGTTCGACAGGGAACTGCTTCATATTCGATTGCTCTAAATGTCGACACCTGGTCATATCCACTCACCATCCTATCTAAAAAATAGTTGGATGGTCAACACGTCCCTAGCCCATGCCTCGTGGCCAACGGAGCTGTAATGTCTGTATTTTTTTTACCCCAGATTGATCTCAAGGACATGCCAATGATCAGCGTGACATATTGGGATTATCAACACATCCTTCCCTTCGTCGATATGCTTCTTTATATAGTTTTTACAGACATTTCGCTCATCCAATTTTGAAGCAGTTAGCAGTCAAATCTAGCAAAAAAATAAAAGAGATAAAGCGGGAGAAAGTCAAATAATATATAACTACAAAAAATGATCAACATTACTCACACTAAAATAGGACGTGACAATAGCAAATTTGTGATCCCGAGCGGTATTTTCGGGTAGCTTGAGCCAGTTTCGAAGTCTTGCAACAAGGGCTTCAATAGTCTAATGAATGCAAATGTAATAAATCATGTAAATATCAAAAACTTGAGTAACACCGAAACTTAAACAAAAACTAACCTCATCCTTCAATCTTCCACCACGTAGAAGATGAAGCATATCATATCTGGTGATTTTGTGCTCTTCAACCTCCAAAACAGTCCTCCTCCTACAAAATGTATCACAATCAGTGTATAAGCGACATATCCAACCCAACAACAAAACGTCACAGGAAAACACTAAATGTCACAGGCAAACTGTAATGATCACATTCTGCGTGCTTATGTCACAAACACAAGGTAACTATCACAGACCAGTTATATATATCACAAAATAACACTTAATACTTACTTGTCAACTTTTAATGTTAGAAAATGTTGAAGCCACTTGTTTTCATCATCCGACACATCAGGTACGTCATGAACAGTGAAATTATGATAGAATCCTTCGTCAACTGTTCCCGGTAGCCTGATATCAAAGTCTTGTGAAGAAGGAATGCCCATATTCAACATCCTCAATAAAATTTTTTCCTCTTCGGTTTTTTCCCTTCTCCATAGCTGAGGCACGGATGTTCTCATAGGCAGGTGTGCCATTTCACGTGGCTTCTCCTCAACCTTCTCCCCATTGTCGTCATCATCTTTCACCACAACGACACTTTTCTTCCCTTTCATTTTTTTCTTAGGCATTTCTGTACAATATGGAGATTCTAAGGACTTGGGCTTCTTTGTTGTTCTTTGGCTCCTTCCACGTAGCCCCTGGACAAATTCTCCCAAAGTAGCCTCACCTTCCTCCCTCCTCTTCCTTCCCCTCTTCTTTTTAGGAACTTCCTCAACAACTTTCTCTTCTTCAGGGTATATAAAGATCACAGTTAATGAATATATATAACAGGAATATGACATGAATATATATCACATAAGGAAATCATGTATCACAAATAATAAGCAAGTATCACAGATAAAGTGTTTTACGTCACAAAATTAGACAAAAATATCACAAGGGACGTATGAATTTCACAAAGCGTAGACAATTGTCACAAATAACAGGGAACTATCACAAACAGTGTGTACATGTCACAGGCAATAACCAAATATCACATAGGAGAGTTACCTGCTCAAGTTCAATGCCCATTTCTTGGCCTTGGTCACCTTCTTTCTCTACATCCTCTTCCTTCCCTTCTTTCTCCGCCTCATCTTGTCTCTCTATTTGAGGCTGCATAAATGTCAAAATAGTAACCAATTTTGTTCAGCAAACTTTTCTCAATATATTTTTTCCTCGTTTGAAACAGAAAATAAATTATTACCTCTTCTTGTTTTGGCCTGATATGTTTCTCTTCCTCAAATCTTTTCTCAATTTCGGCCTTAATGGTCATCGTATCAACGCCACGAGCAACAAGTTCTTGCTCATAGGCTTCATTTCTCAATTTCGGCCTTAATGGTCATCGTATCAACGCCACGAGCAACAAGTTCTTGCTCATAGGCTTCATTCAACATCACCAACTTTTCATAAGCTTCATCCTACATTAACAATAATCTGATAGTGAGTAAATGTCACAAATAAGAAGATCACACATAATGTCATCAAGTTTACCTCTTTTTCCACTCTTTTCTTCCTCAAAGCTTTTTCACCTGTGACTTCCTCCTCTATTTCAACCTTCCCCTTTGTAGGCTTCTGCTTTATCTCCTCATGTATATACCGCGACAAGTCTTGCTCCGGTAAGATGTGGATTGTGGCTTCCGATTTCTTCATTATCGTTGTAGTCCGCAATGAACCCACCTTCTTACCCTCCATTGTCCAGTTGGTCATTGGTGGCTTGGATTCATCTACTCTTGCCGGCTCCTTAATGTTTGATATCTCATAATACCATAGCTTTAAAAAAAGCCACATTCAAACAATAAAGTATCACATATTAGATACAAATGTCACATGTAAATGACAACAATCACATACCAACAGATAATATCACGCATTAACTACAAACATCACATATCAGGGCAAAATATCACACATGGGTCATAAAAGTCACATATAACTAGAAAATATCACATGTAGAAGATACTTATCACATAAACACATATTAACTATAAATATCACAATTAAACAATGAATAGCAGGGACAAATGTCATATCACATAAACACATATTAACTATAAATATCACAATTAAACAATGAATAGCAGGGACAAATGTCATATATTAGTGTTATATATCACATTTAAATGAATATCACAATTAAACAATGAATAGCAGGGACAAATGTCATATATTAGTGTTATATATCACATTTAAATGACAATAATCACATATAACAAGATAATATCACATACAAACTACAAATAAATAGCGAACTTAAACAATACCAATTAGATACAAATGTCACATATAAATCTCATATATCACATGTAAAGGGTAATTATCACAGATAAGGTGCAAATGCAACATATTACTTCCACTCTACATAGATAACTCACCGATAGCAAGGGAGCGCAGCCTCTAAGATATGTTTGCCCCTTCTTCGCTATCTTCACAGCCTTGAAAGAGTCCCACAATTCCTTGTAGATGATCGTCGCCCACGGGAAATGATCAACCGCATCTATCCGAGCCACATATTTGAACATATGCCGCGGTGCATTCATTCTCGCGGTCGGAGTCCATATCATTGTGAGTTGATAGAGGATTTGAAGCATAACAAAATCTGAAACATCATATTTCTTTTTTGACCGAACCAATTTCTCCAATAGGGCCTCAAGGTAGTCTCGGCCACTCTTGTATTGTGATTGTTGCTTGTTGTTGAAATATGTGGCCCATATCCTATTCTTCGTGTCCCGATTGTCTTCGGGTTTCTCCCCTTCATCATTAAACCGACTATGTTTGAGCACCTAATTTAGATCAAACATGTACGCTTGTTTAGTCCCGGTTTTTGGCTATCATTGAAAAAAAAACTTTCCCGTGGCTAAATCCAGGTGATCAAGCAGCAGCATGATGGTGGCCTTGTCTGATGTAATTGCTCCAAAACTAACATAGTTTTTGAAATTGGATGATCCATAAGCCTTCCAATGTTCAGACCTCATTCGTGGAACAATTCCATCCATGAATTGACAATATCCACGTATATTGCAACAGATTCTGATATCATGCTTACTGTAAAACACAACACAATAGACATCAACTTAGGGTTCTAATACGGCTAAAATCACAATGCCAAACACATTAAATCGTCAAATGTGAATGATTGGGTTAATACTTACATCTCAGGCTTGCTCCTCGCTGATTCAGATGAGTGAGATGATGATGTCGACATCCCAGCGAGCGTCACTGTTCGGTTTGGCAGAGGGACTCCAGCGACTCGCTTGCGGTCGGGGGGGGGGGGGGGGGGGGGCTTGTCGCGGTCGAGCGTCGACGAAGACGGTTCACAGATATTTCGCCGAAGAGAAAAACGACGACGAGGGGTGTCGGTGGTCTTAAGAGGAAGACGATGAGGAGGCGTCGGTGGTTTCGAAGAATATGACGAGCGGTGGCGGTCTTCGACAAAGACGACGAAGACAAAGTTGATGAAACCAGATCTAATGTGAGTTGCCGAGATGAAAACAACGACGACGCAGTGGCGGCGGTCTTCAGAGGAATAGGGTTTCGAAGAATACGATGAGCGCGGCGCTCTTCGACGAAGACGACGAGCACGAAGATGGCAAGTACGGTTCCCAAGCGTTTGTCCGTCGACGGTGGTTTTGGGAGGAGGAGGGTTTCGACAGGAAGATGATCTCGAAATTTGTTACATGTGGTTTCGATAACAGCGCTCAGAGAGGGTGTATAGTGAATTGGGAAGGGGTAATTTGGGGATACTTTTTGGGTAGTGTATCTGTACTCATTTTGGGGCCTTGTTGCATTTCTTTTTTTGTATAAGGGCTTTGTGGTTATGCTTTTGGGCTTGGGGTAGGGATGAATGACCCTGTTAGACCCTAGAGGGGGGGGCGGGGGTGCATTAGGGTCTTATGCTAATCTAATTTGATTGAATGCCAATTAAAATTAATTAACAAGTTATCCTAGCAAGTATGAAATACAACAATGTATATGAGCTAGGATAAGCAATATGAACAACAAGATATATCCTAACAAAGAGATATAGGCAATGTATGAGCAATGATATATAAACTCAAGGATAAACAATCTAAACTAGATAGAGGGCAATATAATCAACAAGCAATATACAAAGGCGATATAAGATATGAACATAAAAGTAAGTGCGTCAATGCAATCACAAACAAACAATATGATTACAGAGTTCGGTCCCCACGACCTACGTCTCCGCTCCTCACCTCGAGGAGATCTCCACTATCACAACCGGGTTTTCTACGTTTACCCGAACAATGTTTACACCTCACAATACAATCACTATGCAATCACACCTCACACACTAAGTGTTGGTCATAGCCCGTGTCCTCCTCCTCAAGTGCTCGGTTACAACCTCTCCCTAGGCACGTCAACCGACGCCACTCCTCTTGGATTCGACCCCGTCTCTCACCACACACTTCTCTCGGTATACAAGTGTATTACAAGTGAATCCTCACAATTAAGCACAATATAACAAATAATTGTTCTCTCTAACAAGGTGAGAACTCAATTAGGCTCAACTCAATGTCACACTATCCCATAACCCAATTATATAATGTATGCAAATACAATAAGCTCAAGTGGGTGTGTGTAACAAAGAGATATAAATAAAAACTTAACTCAATAAGAACTAGCAATAAGATTGATATGAAATACAATAATAGAAATGCTAGAAAATAGAGTTAAGGAAACTTCTCTAAAAACACAAAGAGAGGATGATGAAGTGTTGAAGATGAACTCTTCAATAGTTGATGCAAACTCCTCTTTGTAATAGCAAACCCAAAACAAACTTAAACCAAAACTAAACAATCTTAAACCCTTGTTTAAAACCTTGTTTAAAAAACTTCTTGGATTTATTGAGAAAGAACAGCAATGGGGTATTTATACCCACTCAAAATCTCAGCTAAAAACCCCAAGCCAAATGACAAAAACAGCCCCAACAACGGTAACAAAACTAGCCGTTGGAAACAGAATTGAAGGAGCGGCGGTCGACCGGAAATTCTCGCGGTCGACCGCGATCTAGGTCTGAAACAGAGAATGCAATCAGAACTTCGTCGGTCGACCGGTGCGGTCGACCGATGGAGCTCTCGGTCGACCGCATCGGTCGACCGACCAACTCTCTGCTGCATGCTAACGAAAGAACAAATGAGCGGTCGACCGATGCGGTCGACCGAAGACTGACACAGCAGAAAACTGATATTAAAACAGATTTTTGAGACTTTTGAAAATATGTTAAAAATAACAAATGAAGTCCAAAAATAATAAAACTTTAGGAAATGTATATAAACATGAAAACAAACATGTTACAAAAAGAATTTTTCAAGTTGCATTCCCCATTTGTGAAAAATCATCATTTTGTAAAAAGGTCCAAAACACGAAAATGTAAACATGTGAATTTTGACATTTTGGCTAAACTATGTTTTAAAACTTTGCACAATGATTGTATAGACTTAACAAAGTATGTATATGATTATTGTTAAGTCTAAAAACTAAGAATAAAATATTTTCACAAAATTGCATATTCTATGCAATAAATACCAAAACACAATAGTAAATATGAAATATATGATTTCATATTTATAAACATGAAAACTCAAAAACTATGTATGTATATATATAACTATATATATGCATAGAAACCAAAACTTATGTCTATATATATCTATATATATATATATACGAAGAAACCAATAAATGTGTGTGTATAAGATATTGAGCTTAACGTACTTAACACACATAATATAAATCCTAAACTAAATTACCCAAGCTTGATCTTGATCTTCATTGAGCTCAACTTGGTACACGTTGCGGATGAAGCTAAACTTGAATCTTGAACTTGAATTGTACGATGCTTCACTCCACAATTCCGCCAACCTCCTCTTGATATGATCGTGTAGGCTCAATTCCATCCATCCTCCAACTCGTTGTTTGTCTAGAATAAATACGAAAACACAAACACTAGACAAACAACATTAGTTATAAATTGTTTGTTAAACATCATCAAAACAAGAAGGCCAACAGACCCAACTTAACTTGGTTCCCCAAAGCAATTTTCCCTTTTTTTTCAGAATTTAGTATAAATACAGAACCCATCCTTATTTCTTTCTTATAATTTCTCTCTTTCACTTTCTTTGATAATAGCAAGGAAATTGTCTCTCAAAGAAAATAATAGCAAAGAAATTGTTTGAAGCAATGAATGAATCAAGGAGAAAGGAGAAGGGCGATTCCATGCAAGGACCTGACCTTTTCTGCAGCAATCCAGTTCCGGGTAATGACTAATTAATTGTTTCGATCGTAATTTTATTGATTTAACATCATATATATTGATTAATTGAATGTGTTTTATCTTGTGAAGTTCTTTACCTCTTGTGAAGTCAACGTTTTCTGATTTTTCCGATGTTTTCTATTGTTGTCTTTAGCTAAGTTCTTCCATCAGTAATTATGATCGATATCAAGAAAAAAAATTGAGGAAAGTATCAAGAAAAGAGTTCTTTTTGGGGATATCATGAAAAATATCAAGAAAAGAGTTATGTTTAAAGAATTTGTGGAATAGAACATCCTTAATTTATGCATGTTGTCTTTATGGTTGGATTGAATCTTTAATCTTCTTTCAAAATTTGCCTTAATAAGTTAAGTATCTGAACTTATGTGGACAAATTAAAGCAAACACAATAAAGGTACTCAAAGCAATTTGTGTGTACTAATTGCATTTGACTCTTGTTAAGCTCTGCAATCTTTATATCAGATGTACCAGAGTTTGCCAAATATAAAAACTTTTCCCATTCAAATCTAAAAGTAATATACAGTATTACTATTAAAAAAAACAATTCAAGATGACATAATATTCAGGTTTTTATGATACCCATTGTTGATGGATATTGTTCTCAAGTAGTAGTTTCTTTCATCAACTCTCCAATACTCATGATGGATATTTGTCGATAATTTTTCTATTTTAGCACCCTTCTCAACAGGTTTATAATGAATATTATATGCAAAATGTGTATCTTGTCTTTTATGTTTTCTTATTTTTATAATTTTATTTAATGTGTGAGAGTTTCTTTCCTATTCAATTGTATTCATCTGTACTCTGATGATCATGTAAATATAAAACTTCATCTTTCCTGTGCATCATTTTACTGGATGTATCATACTTTTTTGTTATTATTTATGAAGAATTTTTCAAAACAGACCCGCTTCAACTTTTTTTTCTTAAAACCGACCCGTTTTTTATTTATTTATCAAAACCGACCCGATTTTGTAATTAGCAGCTTAATCACCATCCTAAACAGTCGGGGTTGGCAACCCCGACTATTTAGGAAGGTGTTAAACCCTAATTAGAAGCCTTAAACCCTAAAAATTAATGTCCTAAATAGTCGGGGTTGCCAACCCCGACTGTTTAGGAATGTGATTAAGCTGCTAATTACAAAATCGGGTCGGTTTTGATAAATAAAAAAAACGGGTCGGTTTTAAGAAAAAAAAGTTGAAGCGGGTCTGTTTTGAAAAATTCTTCTATTATTTATATAGGAAAATACAGGTTTTAATTATTTATTTTGAGAATTAGAGATAGACGTTACCCTCCTTAATTAGTACTTAATGTTTTTGTAAGAGACTAAGAAGACTCCATGTTTCCTTTTCAATTGTAACGGACTTTATACAATGTGGCAGTTTGTATTGTTCTACGAAAAAAATTAATTAGAATATTTCATGTGGTAATTGACTATGAAATCACATTTAGATCAAGTTATGAAGTCTTCTGAAAAGAATGATTTTTCCCCTTGTAGTTGACCCTAAAATCTTTGACATTATGATATATGGCCCAAAATCTTCTTATTTACCAAAGCCTTGTAGTTGTTTATGTCAGACCTACTAATTGTTTAAAACAGTTTTATGACATTCAATTAAATTCTAGCTAAAATTTATGTTGTTTGGATCATTATGCACATTAAAGTTATTAATTTATCTACTATGGTTAACCTTTAATCCTAGCACAACTATAAATTTGAATGGGGTCTTAAATCTTAATAGAGGATGTATTTAAAGCAACTAAAAAGGATTTGGGCTTAATATCATAATATGAGAGTTTGGAGTACGGTACTGGAAAAACCCAAAGGAAAAAAGAGCAAAAAGGAAGGAGCCAGTTTATTGACGCTCAAATTTAACACCTTTTGTTGGTAGTTTTCATCTCGTAGCTCTCCATTTCATGAACATTTAGACGTCAAATGTCAATGGAAGAAAATGTAATACCCTCTATTGCCAACAATGCATAAATATCAGTAGTAAAGACAGATCAAGAGAACCTTGTACAGGTTTTGCAACTTTCAAGATAATATAATATTCAAGTAATTATGTTGTCTTTTTCTGTTTCAAGATGATGTGTGGAACTTAATTTGCACATGTATATCTTATCTATTCTCTATTTTTAATTTCATATTTTTTTTATTTAAAGCTTGTGATTTTCTTATTCTGTTATTCGTGATTTGTGTGATGGTCATGTAAATATAAATCTTTCCAATGTATCTTTATATTGGTTGTTTCGTAATGACAAAGAAATCAAATTGTCAAATATAACACCTTTTATTGACATCGTTCTATCAAAATTTTTAGTATGATATCTTATTCTATGTCAAGAACAATTGGGCCTCAAACATCAAAAAAAAAAAAAATGTAACAATGTTCACCATACTGCCAATAATGCAGATTTACCAGCTGAGAACAATTTACAGATTTTGCGAAGGCCGGGGAGGAGACAAGAGCCAATAAAGGCACCTCCAGGCTATCTTTTTGCACCTACAGATGAAGATCTCGCTTTCAAATACCTCTTGGGCAAAAAGCTCCGTAACTTAGTTCCTTATGATGTCGTAAGAGAGGCCGATGTGTACGAGACCCACCCAGAGAAACTTACCCGTGAGTATACCTGATGTTTTTGCAATTTTTCCTTCGTTTTTGGGTTCTTTTGACATTGCTCAGTAGATTGCATATAGTTGTTAAGAGTCCTTGGAATTATATGATTTACAATTAACATCATGACAAAATTATATGATATATAATTTTTAACTCTTAACTGTTAGTCATTCTAGTTTACATGTCCTCTTCAACTGGGGATTATACCATTAAAACAAAAAAATAATTCTGCCTTTTTCTCACTATTTGTTCTATTCATTCTTATATGTTTGCCTTCATGACATCTATTTTCTCCAGTGACTAATCTAACAAGAGATATTCAATTTATGGTTCCAATATACAGGAAAATGAAAAAAAAAAGATGCTGAAAAGTATAAGATAAACGAAATTATAGAGATAAATCAAGAAAAAGAATAAATTTTCAGCAATTGAAACATAATAAAAAGTATTAACCAAATATGAAGCACTGATTAGATTTTTTGGGGACTTACTACCGAATCAAATGTCAGCGAAGACAAGACTAATATCGGAAAAAAGAAATCCTATTCTAGTTTTTTTTTTCTTTTTTCTTTTTTATTTTAAAGTAAGCCCGTAGAAAAGCTTCACTATTTGATTCCTCACAAGACAATTCTTGCTATAACATGGTATCGATCAGTTGGCTTAATTTGACAGTAACTTTCAAGTCATTAATATTTGTTTCCCTCTATGTTCTATTCGCCATAGCAAACCTACTTAAGCTATCCTTGTTAGTTATCTCAAAAGTCTACTTGTCTACATTTATTGTTCTATAAAACACCCCACTTTACTTACTAAATCTAATAAGTTTATCATGATGATCATCAATATAGAGAAATTTGAGAAATGGGGAGCAAACGGTAAATGGTACTTCTTCACCACAAGAAGAGGAGACAATGGTGATGGCCACACTAATGACAGAGTAGGGTACTGGAAAGCTACACGGTTGGATGAGCAAATGCAAGGTCCTTATAATAAAGTTGCAGTGAAGAAAACTCTGGTTTATTATTTAGCCAAGCCCCCTCTTGGCACCAAAACCACCTGGATCATGCGCCAGATTGTACTTGTTGACGCTCAAAAGCAGTCCAATAACCCGGATGTGTCAATGGTAAATATTTCAAATGAAAAAGAGTTATAGATCGTATGCGGCTCAACGATATTATTTTTCTGTTGTTATTTTTGCAGACTGACGATGAATTGGCATTATGTGTCATCACAAGGAAACGATTGGTTGACTCAGACTAGAACACCACCAAGAAGGTAATGGAAGCATGCGACGTCTGCAGTCTGAGCTTGATTCTGAAGTTGTATGGAGAGTTTACTTTTTGGATAGATTCCAAATTTTGATTCAACTGGGCATTTTGATCTGTATACGATATTTTCCAGATGCATGCGTCTTGAAAATTCTAGCTATACAGTTAATTCAATTTCAGTTTCTCGGGTTGTGTAGCTTGCGTGCACTTTGAATGTTAAGAGTAGAGATAACGTCAATTCTTGTGCTCTGCATGTTTTGTGGAACAAAATTGATAGTTTCAAGATAATTCTCTCTGGTTTTGTTATGCAATGTTAAATCTACACATATATGATGGCATTACTTGTTTTTTTACATAATTTCTTGGAATCATGCTGGAAGTTGAACGCAGAGATTTTTTTATGAACTGAAATACTTTTTTTTTTCCTTTGAGAGAAAAGAAAGCTAACGGAGTTCTTATCATAAAAAGAACTGAAATACTTTTTCATTAGGAAGTGTCCTGTATTTATAGTAGTTCTGGAGAAATTAGAATGCAGGTTTAGAAGAGACTCTAATTCAAATAGAGATGTATAGAATTTTAAATGGTACCCAAAATCATCGCTTGAAAATCAACGTCTGGTGTTGTATTCTATTTTTCTCCGCTTGCGAGCCTGAATAGAATATCTTTCATCGGATTAAATAAATAAAAAAAGGTACCCGGGCTGGCGGGCACATGCATGTTCAATCATGGCCCATGTTCAGGGCCCATTATCATTCCTAGGTCCACCCACTTTGAATCGTTCAAGATCCTAATTTCCACACGCGGTTTGGAACTACACGCGAGACAAATTTACCGTCAAATCCATGGTCTTCTCCTGTTTTTTTTTTTTTTTTCTTCTCGCTCTCGCGTATGAGTCCTGACAAATTCAAATTGACCCTCACTAATATGCATAAAAAGCTGCAAAAGGGTCCCACTAACGTCTGCTTCATATTTTATTCCCAGTTGGCCTGTTTAAAAAAAAAAAAAAAAGATTTGGACCTGTTCGTGGTGCCGACCTCAACATTCAGTCCCTTTGGCGGGTAAAAGCGGAAGCCCTTTTTTTGTCGTGGAGTGAAAATGCGGCTTGTAGCGGTTTGCTTCGGTTGGCGGGTAGAACTTGAACAGATTGACTCATTAGATGTTTAAACTTCGTACTAAGGGTACTTTAAGCTTTTAAATCAAATTGTCTTAAGCGGGCCATTAAACATAAACTTGCTTTTCTCCCTAAAAGATTTATCTTACTCTGTTATTGATATAAACAGATGTCATGACCTCTGTAACAGAAGTTATCTATCGATCTGTTACCATATATATGATAGAAGAGGAGTGCCAGCTACATTTGCGAGCGCACCGCACTGACGCCGTAGCGCGGACATGTATCCCTACGTGTCCATGTATAGGGCACATGTCCCAACCACCGCACTAGCGAGTGTGGCTAGCATTTCTCACGGTAGAAAAAAGGAAAATAATACAGGATTCCCTCTCTCATTCGCTACAGTGCACCGGGCCCCACATGAGATTTTAAAATTTTAAAATCCCATGTGGAGCCCGGTGCACTGTAGCGAATGAGAGAGGGAGTGTGGTTGAGGCTGTGGTTGGTGGTGTGCCCCTAGTGCCACTCTAGAAATAATTGTTATTGATAGTACGAGTGACAACTAACAGTCGCCCTAGAATTTTCTTTCTTTTGCAAACTTTCTATCATTATAGAACCATCACAATAATTTCTTTCGCATGTTTTCAATCGACATGTAGGTACTTGTGACCATAATAGTTGTTTAGTCTGGATAGACATTTGTCATATTATAATATTGTGATGCAGCGCGGAAGTAGTAGCCTCGGAATCCACCAAGAGTGATCTATGAATCCACAAAGAACGATATTCGAATCCACGAAGAACTTCGAATCCACGAAGAAAATAGATAAAACAAATAAGACTCCTAGTAAGACTATAATTACAAAAAAAAGTGTCAAATTCTATCCTAAAAAGACTCTTTATAATAAAAGAAACAAATCATGAATCAAAATTGATTTTGTTTCCTAATCTAATTTGGCTCTAAAATTGAATTTATTTCCTAATCTAAATAGACTCCAACTCAGATTAAGCGTTGTAGGCATCGAAAATTGCCTATAGGTCTCCACGAACAGCTCAGTGCTAAGAAACGACGATGAACGTCACTATCCGGTTCACAGAAGTTTGATTGATGTTGGTGAACGCTTGAAGTGAATCGATGAACTATGTAAACCAACGGAATTTCAGAATAACAAAGACACGAACTGATCGGGAACCTCGTATCATTCACAAATGGCGAAATACCCTTCGTGTCTCATTTGTTCAACTGATGATATAATCATTGGAGCTTATAGAACTCCTCGTCGGATTTCCAACGCACTTTGAATCGCTCAAATCCGAGTTCGGATGAAGAAGTTACGGCGGAAACGAACGAATGTGCAAAAACAGCGTCTCAGCCTGAATTGAGACACCCCGAGGTGTCTTGGCCCAAACGAGACACCCCAAGGTGTCTCGGCCCCGCTGAGACACCCTGGGGTGTCTCCAGGCCCAAAAACGGGTTGTTATGTTGTTATGTACCATACAAAAGAAGACAAAAGAGGGGAGGGTGTGTCTCGGTTTTGAACCGAGACACCCTAGGGTGTCTCGGCCAAGGTTGAGACACCCACGGGTGTCTCAACCCAGTTTGAGCCCCCGTATGCCCTTTTCAAGCCCGATTTTTAGCCTGTTTTATCCGTTTTCATCGGTTATTGGATGTTTTGACGAAAATCGACACCAATAAACGTACGACGTTCAAAACCCTAAGGTCAACGCCGGTCAACGCGTTGCGATCAAAAAGTCAACGTACAACGTTCAAAGCCCTAAGGTCAACGCCGGTCAACGCGTAACCCTAGGTCAACGCCAGTCAACGCGTTGCGATCAAAAAGTCAACATACGACGTTCAAAACCCTAAGGTCAACGCCGGTCAACGCGTAACCCTAGGTCAACGCCAGCCAACGCGTTGTGATCAAAAAGTCAACGTTCGACGTTCAAAACCCTAGGGTCAACTCCGGTCAACGCGTAACCCTAGGCCAACGCCAGTCAACGCGTTACGATCAAAAAGTCAACGTACGACGTTCAAAACCCTAAGGTTAACACCGGTCAACGCGTAACCCTAGGTCAACGTGTTGCGATAAAAAAGTCAACATTCAACGTTCAAAACCCTAGGGTCAACGTCAGTCAACGCGTTGTAATCAAAAAAGTCAACTCACGACGTTCGAAACTCTAGGGTCAACGCGTAACCCTAGGTCAACGCCAGTCAACGCGTTGCGATCAAAAAGTCAACGTTCGACGTTCAAAACCCTAGGGTCAACGCCGGTCAACGCGTAACCCTAGGTCAACGCGTTGTGATAAAAAAGTCAACACACGACGTTCAAAACCCTAGGGTCAACACGTAACCCTAGGTCAACGCCAGTCAACGCGTTACGATAAAAAAAAATCAACGTGCGACGATCAAAATCCTAGGGTCAACGCCGGTCAACGTGTAACCATAGGTCAACGCCAGTCAACGCGTTACGATTAAAAAGTCAACGTGAATCAACATATCATGACGGAGGTAGTCAGTTCAAAGTCAACTTGACGACACGAACCAAACTCAACTCATCAGTTTTAGATTTGAGACTTCGACGATGGCCAGGCGATAAACGCGACACCGAAAGAACTTCAGCTATTCGTCAAAGCATCGAATGGATTGAAAATCGAAGGAGTCAAGAATTGAAGCTAATCACAGGTCCTTTACACCAGTTAAAGGCTGGACCAATCATATCCAAAGTATTCCAGCCTCTTCTATAAAAGAAACGAGTCTGGAACGCTTTGGAGGGGGTATCTGTAGGCATCGAAAATTACCTATAGGTCTCCACGAACAGCTCAGTACTAAGAAACGATGATGAACGTCACTATCCGGTTCACAGAAGTTTGATTAATGTTGGTGAACGCTTGAAGTGAATCGACGAACTACGTAAACCAACGGAATTTCAGAATAACAAAGACACGAACTGATCGGGAACCTCGTATCGTTCACAAACGGCGAAATACCCTTCATGTATCATTTGTTCAACTGATGATATAATCATTGGAGCTTATAGAACTCCTCGTCGGCTTTCTAACGCACTTTGAATTGCTCAAATCCGAGTTTGGATGAAGAAGTTACGGCGGAAACGAACGAATGTGCAAAAACAGCGTCTCAGCCTGAATTGAGACACCTCGAGGTGTCTCGGCCCAAACGAGACACCCCAAGGTGTCTCGGCCCCGCTGAGACACCCTAGGGTGTCTCCAGGCCTAAAAACGGGTTGTTATGTTGTTTTAACCACCCAGAGCCTATAAATACAGGCCTCAGGCCCTCATTTTGGAGATCTGGATTTTTGGAGAATTGGTGAAGCCTTGCCGGATCGAAGATTGATCGAGTTCTTCAACACAGGAGAGAAAACTTCTTCAGATCTGCACCGCCCGCATCCGATCCTTAGGGTTATCCCGTTGTGATAATTCTAAGAAGAGCAATCATCTCGCCGTTGTCGAGATAAGCGCTTCTGCTTCTAGATTCCCTCGCGAATCGACGGAGTTCTGGATCTGATCTGACTGTCAGGTAGTCCACGGATATCGACATCTCCGTCACCGGCTAAAGACCCACGCAAGCAAGAAACGACGAACGGATCTTGCGTTATTTTCGAAAAGTTGTAATCTTTCATTTTTTTTATTGAATATTTTGAATTCTTTGTAAGTAATCCATATTATAATGAATTCTACAATGAATGCAACTTTCTCCGAAAACAAGCGTCCTACACCAGTCTCCCCTTATTGAAAGAAGCTCGACCCGAGTTTATATTTGTTAGAATAGTAGCTTCATTGATAAATAATTTTCTTCTCTTGCAATGATCAGCATCCACCTTGTATTTAGTATTGATTTTCTCCATTTGTTCTTTTACCTCCTCTGCTAGGACTTCTTTTGTATCAAACTTGTGTATGAATCTTTTCCATGACAAGTGTATGTAACTGACAGCATGTGGCTCTGACATGAAAAACTTCTCCAAATATTTTTCTTGTTGCTTCCCATACTCTAGTGTTGACGGTATCATCTCACCATTATTAAAATTATTGACGATTATTGCTTCAAAAAAATGATTTTCTTCCTCATAC